TCTACATAGTGAGTTCCAGGACAGCTGGGGCTAAAGGGAGACCCTGCTTCAAAAAGACAAAAAAAAAAAAAAAAAAAAAAAATCAAATTTTATTTTATTTGTATAAGTATTTTGCCTGAATGTATATAAGTGCACCATGTGCATGCAGTGCACAAAGAGGTTAGAAGAGGGTGTTGGAATTTCCTGGAACTAGAGTTATGGATGGTTGTTAGTTATCATTTGGGTGCTGGGAACCAAACACACATCCTTTGCAAGAGCAGCCAATGCTTTTTAACTGCTGAACCGTCTCTTCACTATGTGGGTACATAGAAGACATTCATTTATCTTTTTAAAAATAAAATGCTGCAATGTAGGTTGGAAAGTTGTCAAATAAGAGTTAACCTACCTGGGAGACAGCTATGGTAGATGTAGGTCCTCAGACTAGATAAAACTATCTACTGCAATGTCATTACAGCTCTTGGAATTCAGTAGAGTTGTTGAAAATTCTCATATCTCCCCCACACTCTCTCATACTGGGGATGAAACTCAGGGATTCTTATGTATAGGCAAAGACTACCTACAGGTTGGCCTTGCACTTTGTTGTGGATGGCAGGCTTGAATTTGATCCTTGTACCTCTGCCTCGGAAATATCTGAGATTACAGCCTGTGCAACCAAGCCCAGCATATGTTTTGTTTTGTTTTGTTTTTTATACTGGATCCGACCCAAGGCTTCACACGTTGTAGGTCCTCCTGCTCTACCATTGAGTGATTGCCTCTTGTTTTTAATCTCTGTATCTCTGCAGGTTGTGTTGTCTCGTATCTTTCAGTGCTGTAGCAGATACAAGAGAGATGGAAAACTCAGTATTGTGCAAGATCATCTTTGAAGATAGAAATTGGATTGGGCTTTGTTGGCAATAACTAGAAACCATTAGAAGAACAAACTGTGACGCTGCCAGTCCAAACAAAAAACATGTTAGTCTTGTCCACAGTTGCTCTGTCATGTTAATCTTTAAACATTTAAAAATCATTAAGGTAAAGTAGACATGGACTGTAGACATGAATGTTAGGTTTTTTAAATTTTTTTAATTAAAAATAATTTTTTTATGTGTATGCATGTATTGCCTGCATGTAGGTAAGTGCACTCACGCCATGCAATGCCCGAGAGGTCAGAAGAGGCTGTTGGATTCCCTGGGACTGGAGTTATAGACAGTTGTTAGCTGCCATGTGGGTGCTGGGATTTGAACTAGTGTTCTTAACTGCTGAGCCATCTCTCCAGCTTGGATGTTAGGTTTTAGAATGCCTCTAAAACATTTTTCAGTACTTTTTTTTCCTGATTTTCAAATTGACAGTTTATTGATCTGTTGTCAAATCCAGTCTTTACCTTTTAATTTCTTTTCTGCTATTGAGTCTATGTAATGCTTAAAATTTAGTTACTGCATTTTGGTTCCAAGAGACAGGGTCTCCCTGTACAGCTGTCCTGGAACTCACTACGTAGACCAGGCTGGCTTTGAACTCAGAGACCTGCCTGCATCTGCCTCCTGAATGCTGGGACTAAAGGCATGTGCCACCAAGTCCGACTGAAACTTTTTATACCTTATTTAATTTTTTCCATCCATTAAGTAATTCATGTAGCAGATTTACCCATTGCTCTTATGTATTTAATCTTGTTATTGGTATCTGTTGATTTGTCTTATTGTGTGCCCTACCCAGTATCGCGTATGTGACCTACAAAGGGTTTTTGATTTCAGAACCTCTGAGTTATTAAATGCCCCCCTCCTCCACATGCTCAAGGATAGACCTGGAATTTGTGAATAGCTTACCATTATTTTCTTAAACTCTTTCCTCTTCATTATGCTCATGGCATTGTCTAAATTCCTGGAGACACTGTTTTTCTGGTTCTTGGCCAGAAGACTTGGCTTTTATTTACTCTACTTTCTGTTATTATGTCAGTATCTATGTGGTATGTGACATCAACAAGGATGACCCGTGGTTTCTTCAGTCTGTGTAGATGATTCCTTTCTCCTTTTCACACTCTTGCTGCTCTCACTCTTGGTAGTTATGCCCACTACCACAGAATTGCATCGAGTGGCTTTTGGGACATGAGGAACAAGAAAAAAAGCAATTTTTTTCTTTCTCTTTCTGAATATTAAGAGTCTTCTTTCTGAGCCATGCATGGTGGTGCATCCCTCTAATCCCAGCACTCAGGATGCAGAGTCAGGTGTATTTCTGTGAGATTTGAGGCCAGTTTGGTTTACATAGTAAGTTCCAGGAGTTCCAGGCCAGCCAGGGCTATTGTATTCGTCACGTTTCTGTTGCTGTGATAGAAACAGTGACCCAAGCAATTTGTAGAAGGAAGTTTATTTGAGCTTACAGTTCCAGGGGAATTACAGTCTGTCATGGCAGGGGAGCATGGTGGCTGGAGGTGGCTGGAGCAGGAGCAGCAGAAGCTAAGCTCTCACATTATCAGGCAGACACAGTCGCAAGAGAGCGACTGGGGATCTGGCAAGGCTTAAAAGCTCTAAGCCCACCCCCAGTGACGTGCTTCCTCCAGGATAGCCACACCTTCTAAGACCTCCCAAAACAGCGCCATCATCTGGGGACAAAATGTCCAAATACTTGGAGGCTGTGGGGGACATTTTCATTCAAACCATCACAGCTATATAGGGAGACTCTATCTCAAAAATAAATACATAAATAAACAAATAAACAAATGAATAAATAAATAACGTGAAGGAGGAAAAGAAAAAAAATAAGGAAGAGAAAGACTTCTCAGTATCTGGACTGGCCAGAGTAATTACCTTCTAGAGAAGCTTGCGCTCAGTACCAGTGCCCTTTCTAGATCTTAAGGTCATCAAACTCAGGCCATTGATTTCTAGATAGGTAGGAAGAATAAATTGCCAGTGTGATATATCAGATCTGGTCTCTTCCCCTGCCCACTTGCTGTTGCGTTCAGAGTTTTAAAATTTCATTCAGTGGTATTAACAAAGTGGCATGTGTTAATTCCATTTTTACTCAGAACTGAAAGCCCTCTGGTCTCACTTTATATCTGTTTTAGAAATGACATTGCATCTTTAAAATTCTTTATGATCATAGTTTTAAATATGTTGTAATAATTACAATCCGTTTTCAACATATATGATTCTGCTCTATGTAATAGTACAAGTTCTATTGAAGAAAAGTTATAATAAGTAAAGAAGGTTGCAGGAAAATAAATTTTTCTTAGAGTAGTTTTCATGAACTCTAAATTTTCCATGATGATAATGCCTTCAGAATCATCTACAAAATTCTTGCCTAGAGTCTTCAACAGCAAATAAGTGCCAAAATAAACCTCAGTGGGAAGGATGCTACCTCTTTTTATGACTAATATCTTAGTGTCTGAAACTCTTATTTCAATGTTGTTTATTATTTGGGTTTGAGTGCACGTATGGAAGTCAGAGGACAACTGTCCTGAGTTGTTTCTCTCCTTCCACCATAGGTTCTGAGGATCAAACTCTGGACGTCAGCTTTGCACAGAAAGTGCCTTTAACTGCCTTTATCTGGCTGGCTGAACAGTTTATTTTTAAAAGATGAAAATGAGGGACCATCGTTCAGCAATTAAGAACACTGGCTGTTCCTGCAGAATACCTGGGTTCAAATTCCAGTACCCATTTGGCAGCCAACAACTGTCCATAACTCCAGTTCCAGGGGATGTGACAGTCTCTTCTGTCCCCTGTGGGCATTGCATGACACGGGTGCACTTAACAACATGCAGGCAATACACGTATGCACATAAAATAAAAATAATAAATATCTTTTTGAAGATGAAAATGAATAAAGAATAAAATATTTTCAAAGTGGAAGGTAAGCTAGAAAATCTCAGGGAGAGACTGTAGATTGATATGAAAAGGCACTATCATTGAAAATAGAATTCATGAGAACTGTTCTAAAAGAGACATTGATTTCCTGCATCCTTTTGGATTGTACTTATTTCTGTGTTATGGATTTTATCATTTAGCCTTTACTTTCTAATAGTTGTGTAAAGCTTCTTCTGTTAGTCACTTTCTTGTTACAGTGGCAAAATACCTGACAATAAACAATTGAAGGACAGGTTTATTCTGGTTTAGAATTGGAAGAACGGTTTCCATGGTGGGGAACGCACAGCAGGAGCAGGAGGCTAGCTGGTCACATTGCGTCTGTAGTCAGGAAGCACAGAAGGATGGATGCTATGCTCAGGTAGCTTTCTTTGTGTTCAGTCCTGCACCACGTCCCAGGGCATGCTGCTGCCACATTTAGGGTGTGTCTTCCCATTTCAGTTAACCTAATCTAGGTAATCCCTGATGGACATATCCAGAAATTGGTCTGCAAGGTGATTCTAGATCCTCTTAGTCAAGATAAACTACCACATTTCTTTTTCCGGTAGTTCTTTGTTTCTTGATTTTAAGTACTACAAAAGAGTATTGGAATTATTTGGCAGGTGAGATGGCTCATCAGGTAAAGGCACTTGCAGGACAATGTGACCAGGAGAATCTATGTAAAAGGTAGAAGGAGAGAACTGACTCCACAAAATTATTGTCTGACCTCTATACATGGGCCAAGGCATTAATGTTCCCCTCCCACCCTACGTCAGGCACTGACACAATAAATGAAATTAAGAGTAGTGGGTTATTATATACAAACTGATTGGTTTGGTTTATACTGTGTTCTTTTTTAAAAAAATACTATTTTTTTATTTTATGTGTATGAGTGCATAGCCTGCATGTATGTAAGTGCCCCCATGTTGTGCAATGCCCACAGAGGTGAGAAGAGGGTGTTGGACCCCTGGAACTGGAATTAGGATGGTTGTTAGCTGCCATGTGGGTGCTGGGAACTGAACCCATCCTCTGCAAGAGCAGCCCGTGCTCTTTGCTGCTGAGCCATCTCTCCAGCCCCTGTACTGTGTTCTTTTATGTGTAAAAAAATTTCTTACAGTTCAAAAATACTTTATAAATTAATATGATTGGGAGGTGGCAAGCATAAAAATTCTCTTTTGATTTATCCTATAGGAAACCCCTTCACACAGAGAATGAAGAAGAAATCTGGGTGTAACCCTCCCATGGGTGATCAGGAGTCTGAAGATATGGAAGGTAACTTTTCATTTTTTGTAAAGCTTGTATATAGAAAGACAAGCTTAGTGTCACAAAAATTTTTATTTGTATACTTTAAAATTTAAGTTTGTGTTATTTTTACATTCTGAAACTAAGGGTTGTGCACTTTTTTTTTTTTTTTGGTCTTTTGGAGATGGTCTCCCTGTAGCCCCAGCTGTCCTGGATTCACTATGGAGAACAGGCTGGCCTCAAATTCACAGAGATCTGCCTGCCTCTGCCTCCCGAGAGCTGGGATTAAAAGCATGCACCGCCACACCTGGCAGGATTGTGCACTTTTTCTTAAATTTTAATTTTGATTGATTACGCTTTTTTTGTTTTGTTTTTTTTTGGCCTTTTTGAGACAGGGTCTCCCTGTAGCCCTGGGTGGCCTGGATTCGCAAGTCCATGGTCATGTGTGGGTGAGGGCCAGAGGAGGATACTCTCTGGTGTTGTTCCTTAGGAACCTTCCACTTTTTTATTTGAGACAGGGTTGAGACTAGCCTGGGACTTTACTAGTTGGCTAGTTGGCTGTCCAGCAAGCCCCAATAAGCTTCCTGTCTGCCTCCCCAGTGCTGGAGTTACAAGCATGTACTACCATGCCAGCTTTTTTAATGTGTGTTCTGGAAACTGGCAAGCACTTTTCCGAGTTATCTCCCCAGTCCTCATTAAAAAATTTTTAAAATAAATTTTTTGAGAACTTCGTATGCTTTCCTCTCCCCTTCCCACTTGAATTCCTGACCTCTTTTTAAATTACTGTTACACACAGACACGTACACAGAAATACACACACACAACCCATGTCCATTTAGTGTTTCTCATATGCCCAATGTTTAGGGATGAACACTTGGGATTAGATCCCATTGCAGTGTTTTCCTCTGCCTCTAAAGCTAATCTTAGTGATCAGCAGAAGGGCCTGACAACACTGACTCATCCTACTCAATTTTTACATTATCCATTATTTTAGTTTTTGTTCTTGAAACACCAAAAATTAGATGACTTGTAGGGACAGTGTTAACGTGACTTTCTTTCCACTCCATCCATTTCGAAAAATACCTTGATGTGTCTCTATTGGTGACATACTCCAAGTTACTGTGTTTACATTTTACTCTTCAAAACCTTACAGATAGTTTTATTGGGTATATAATTCTGGATTGATAATTGATAGTTGTTTTTTTTTAAGCATTTGAAGATATAACTTAACCATTGTTTGATTTCTTGGTGTCTAGAAATCTCTTCTTGGTCCTGTTGTCGTTTTCTTTGTAAATGATCTGTCTTTTCTCAGTTTTTCACCATTTCAAATTAACTTTTTTTTTAGGCTAGCCATGGTTGTGCATGCTTTTAATCAAGCACTTGGGAGGCAGAGGCAAACAGATTTCTGTGAGTTTGAGACCAGCCTGGTCTTACTGGGCCAGTAAGTGCAACATAGACCCTATCGCAAAAAAAGACTAAAAACAGTTGTACCCATTTTTTTCAAGTACATGTGTGCCTTGGCACTTCTGTGTCCCAGTGTGCACGTGTGATCAGAGGACAACCTGGAGCAGTTGGTTCTCTCCTCCTACCACACATCCCATTACTCCGATCCAGTCTGTTAGGCTTGCTGGCTGTACTGGCCCTCTGCTTTCAAGACTTATACTAAGTCCCTGAGTTGCAGTTCTGCTCCATTGTTTCTAGGTGTGGATACTTTTCATTTCATCCTCTTTTACCATATGTGTGTTTCCTTTATATGTTGATTGGTTTTTTTTTTTTTTTCTTCCATGATTTAGTTTTGACAAAAGGCAACCCCCCCCCCCCATTTCATAACCAGCTCCTGAAATAGGCCCACTACAATCACTACAATTTATTTGGTCATGTCTGATGACTGGGAAGTTTTTGGTTTATGTTTATGTTTAAGGCTGCTGTAAAGCTGGGATCAACATACAATAAATACTTGCACAAGGGAAGTAGCAGGTCTATCTTGATGTAATCAACCCCCAAGTGATGGAGAGGTGTCTAGGGTCTTTTATTTCTTTCTGAGACAGGGTCTCACTATGTTATATAGCCCTGACTGGCCTGGAACTCACTGTATAGCCCAGGCTAACCTTGAATTCATAATCCTCCTGCCTCAGACTCTGAAGTGCTAGGATTATAGGCATGTACCACTATACCTACCTGGTTTGTGTTTTTAATCATTTCCTGTCATTAATTCTTTATTTCTTTTTGTATTTTCTTCTGAACTTTATTTAATAGTATGTTAATACTTTGCTTCGGCCTCATGTATGAAAAAAATCTTTCACAATTAACTCCATTTCTATCTCCTAAAATATAGTGAGTGTCCACAAATTTGTTTTAGTTCAGAAGTATTCTTTTCTTCTAGGTCTAATCTGCTTTTTAGTCATTCTGTATGGTATTTGAAAGTTCTGATATTTGAATCCAGTGGATTTCTAAATTTGTTTCTGCTGATTCTCAGTCAAGGTGGGTTATTTTCTTAGGTTTGGGAATATTTGTTTGTGAGTTCATATTTGATAAGTTTAATCTATAGAATCTTGAGTGCCCAATTCAGGTTATTCTTTACAGAATTTGTGTTTGATTTATCCTGGACACATGCTGGAACTGTGGTAGCTCTCTTTGAGTGTCCTGGCTTAGTACTGACTTCTCAGTGTTACCCTTAGTTCCTCTATTTGGGAAGACTTAATCTGCAGATCTGACACTAGTGTGGACGCTTGTGCCTCCCAGCTCACTGTATATTGTTTCCATTCCTTGTTTTTTCTTTTTGTGTTGGATTTTCACAGTTCCCATTATTTGCTTAGGAGCCAGTGTAAGTTGGTTACATTTATTGTTAGGAATTTAAGTTATTACAAATCCTATAGAGACAAATTTGACAGTGTCTTAGTCATATAAATTTATATGTAATTCCATTTTTAGGAATTGATTCTGTAGATACACTTTTTAAAATGTGAAGTCATTGGGTTGGGAATTTAAGTTCAGTGGTAGTGTACCTGCCTAACATTTGTAAAGCTCTGGGTTCCATCCTCACACTGTGGGGGAAAAAAGTAAAGTAAAAATTCATTGAAGCATTGTTCGCCATAACCAAATGAATGTCCGTTAATACCTTCTTCTCAAAAGCAGATTAGTTGAGTATAGTATTCTAATATTTGTGTGAAGAAGGAAATGTGGCAGAACATACATTAGATTCACCTTGACTTCTTGGCTCACCCCTGTGATCTCAACACCTGGCAGGCTGAAGTAGGAAGATCTTGAGTTTGAGGCTAGTCTACCTATTGAGATCCTGTCTTAACTGGGGGAGGGAGGAGAAGGAGTTGCTTTTTTATGCGTTAAAAAAAACGGAGTAACAAAAGAAACTTGAGTTACTGTTGGATAGCTAGGAGTCGTGGGAGGTAGAGTCAGGTAGATCTCTGAAATTGAGGCCAGCCTGGTCTACGTAGCAAGTTCCACTAGGGCTACAGGAAGACCTTGTCTCAAAAAGACAAAAAAGAAAATAAAAAAGAGTTATATGGAAGGGAAATGGATGGATGGTTGAGTAGATTTGATAGGCTTGTCACTGTAGTCATTTTTACTTACACATTTTGAACCAGGCAGGTATTTTAAAATTTAATCAAAATTCATTTCAGCTCTCCCTTCCCCTATATAAGAAAGTTGGCTGAGAATGTATCTAAATGGTAGGGTATGTACAAGGTTGTTATGTACAAGTTTGGGTTAAATTCCTAGGATCCCCTACCCTCCCCATAAACACACACACGCATACACGCACACACACATACACACTTAACATGCAGGGGCTGCTGATTGATGTTTGTCATTTTGGAGGGCCTTTAGAGTATATAGCATTGCTATAAACAAGTCATTGGTTCTGGAAACCTTGAAAGCATACATGACTATTTTTTTTTTACAGGTGAAGAAAACAGAAATAATACTCACACCACTGGCCTATTGTATAGTGAAGCAGACAGATGTCCAATATGTCTTAATTACCTGTTAGGGAAGGAAGTTGGTTTTCCAGAAAGTTGTAATCATGTCTTCTGTATAACCTGTATTCTTAAATGGGCAGAGGTAAGTTCAAGAATAAGTATTAACCATAGTTGACAAATTACTGCATTCAATGTCCAATCATGATTTTATTTCACTTAAAGAGTTGATACTGCCTTTCATAAGTTATTTCATAGTAATGTGTTTTCCCACTATTTTAGGCAAATTTCCCTGTTTAAATTCTTTCCCCATATTTCCTTCTAATGCTCTTTTGCCCAGCTTTTCATTCTTTTTTAATGTTTAAAGTATATATGTTTAAAAAAAACTTCCAGGAAGAATGGATCAAACCACTTCCTGACTCTTGGACTCTTGTAGGACATTATCTTTGTACTACTATTAACATCTGTTTGCTTTTTGCTTTATGTTTCTTGGAATTTTCACACAGGCTAATTGACTTCTTTATAGCAACTTAGGGAATAACCAAAGTAAATTTCATTACTTTAAAGCTGCAGGTCTTGTATGTTATGTTCTGTAATTTGACCCAGATCTTAACAGCTTAATGGTTCTTTTTAATTCAATGTGAACTAACTTGAGAGTCTTCAGAGATTTTACTGAAATTCTTCATAGAGTATAAATAATTAAGAAACAGGGTATTTGGGGCTTTGATTGTATTATGTTGAATCAGTTTGGGCCAGAAGCACTGAAGCACATATTAATCATAAACTCTATTGTTATAAATTATGAAATCAAAAGTTTAGTGTTTTTCATAACAATCACGTCTTTTCTGGCTTAGTATTTTGTCAGTGTGTAAAAATAGGTACATCTCAAAAATGTTACCATTTAGAGGGCTGTAGAGATGACTCAGTGGTTAAGAGCACAGACTGCTCTTGCAGAGGACCCAAGTTCAATTCCCAGCACCCACATGACAACTAACAGTCATCCTTAACTCCAGTTCCAGGGGATCCCATTTCTTCTTCTAACCTCCATAGGCATTTCACGACACGGGTGCACTTATCCATGCAGACAATACCCTCGTACACCTTAAAAAAAATTAACATTTAGCTGCATTCAGATTTCTCATTGTTTTTGATCCACAGTACTACAAAAATAGCAAAAGCCAAATTTTTCCGTGTCCTTAAGTACTTTGAAAATTAATTGGATTAGGGTTTTCAGAATTGCCTTTTACTTGTGTGTTCCTTTGTACTGTAGAAAGAACTGGTGTAATATATAGTGAAGGCTGTCTTTCTGGCTAACTTCTGCAAGAGATTCGTTATGCTGGTTAAATTCATATGTGTATAGGAGCTGATTTAATTCACATTAGAACCTAAGCTAGTCATGGCAAGAAGGGACTAAGAAAATGTATCTTGAGAAAAGTAGTTTGTGTAAAGTATGTTGAGTTTCGTGCACCTGGGCTAGCTTTGTGATCTGTGTGTTGTCTGTTTATTTTGAGCGGGGAGTGGGTGAAAAACCTGTTAGTGCTTGTGTTGAAGGTTTCAGTTCAGTCTTTTTCCTGATTGCATAATTAAGAACTTTGAACTAAATAATGGGTGTGTTTTTCTAAGACAGGATGTATAGATGTGATTTTGATTCTCCTTCCTTTACCACCTCAGGTGCGTCTTTCAGTGTAGCCATAAGCTTCATCATGTTGTATGTTTGAGGTGTCTCTGGGGTATCGAGAAATCAAACTGCTAGACTCTGGTCTGTACACGTATTTAATTCTACTAAACAACAGTAAACTTAACAATTTTTTATTGTTCATTTGTTTTTATTTTATGTGTATGAGTGTTATGTCTGCATTTGTGTAAGTGCACCCGTGTCATGCAGTGCCTACAGAGGTCGGAAGAGGGGGTTGGACCTCCTGGAACTAGAGTTATGGACAGTTGTTAGCTGCCATGCTCTTAACCACTGAGCCATCTCTCTGGTCCAAACTTAGCTATATTTTTAAGCCTTGTAGACTATTTTGAAGTTGGAAATACTTGACAACATATATAAAATACTCAACACTTTTCTCACGTGTAGTATTTTCCTTGTTTATTTTATATTTTATGTGTATGAGTGTATTGCCTGCCTGTATGTAAGTGCACCTGTGTTGTGCAATGCCCATGGAGGTCAGAAGAGGGTGTTGGATACCCTGGAACTAGAGTTACAGGTGGTTGTTAGCCATCATGTGGGAACCAAACCTGGGTCCTCTTCAAATGCAGTCAGTGCTCTTAACCACTGAGTTGTTCCAGCTCCTTGTTTTGTTTTGTTTTGTTTTGTTTTGTTTTGTTTTGTTTTAAAAGAACTGTTTGATTTTCTGTGCTGAGCGTGGTGGTGTTCCCTCTCCCCAGTCATTTGTGCATCCTTGGAGTGCACCCAGCATAGCTCCTGCACCTCAGTGCAGGGTATCTACACTCCCACAGCACTTTGTTGCCCCTTTGTGTCATATGCTATGCTTCTTTATGTGTCTGTTCTCCACTCTGGAGTAAAGGGTACTTGAAGGGGTCTGACTATCTGATGCTCCATGGTGGCCAGCACTGTGCTTGGCACACTGCAATCCCCATAAACCTCACCAAGCCAGTGAGATATTGGAAAGGGTCTTCCACAAGACTAAGTGCTCTTAATGGCTGAGCTGTCTGTCCAGCCCAGCTTAAGGAGTTTATCTTATGCATATTTACAAGCAAAGACACAATTTTCACTTTATAGAGTTTTGAACATAACAGAAGTTTAGCCTTGATTATCTGGGCTCTCACATTTAAAATATTTAGAAAGGGGAAGCCTAGAAAGTCTGATGTGCCATTAGAAGTAGTAATAACTAATCATATTTATAATTCTCTACAGACAAGGTACCCCACCATACAGTGGTTAAGAAGATAGGATTTTTCTTGGCACAGTTACCAAGAAGTAGTTAAAATTTTGCCTTTTAAAGTGTTTAGGTTTGTGCTGGGCATGGTGGTGCATGCCTTTAATCCCAGCACTTGGGAGGGAGAGGCAGGTGGATCTCTTGTGAGTTCGAGGCCAGCCTGGTCTCCACAGCCTGTATTAGGCCAGCTGGGGTTACAGGGAGACCCTGTCTCAAAAAGACTAAAACAAAAAAGAGTTAAGGTTTGATAACTTAGAAACATTATAGGTTTAAAGCATTAAGGGACTGGAGAGATGGCTCAGCAGTTAAGAACACTGGATGCTCCTGCGGAGGATCCAGGTTTGGTTCCCAGCAACCATGTGGTGACTAAGTCTGGAACTCCACTTTGAGGGGATCTGATGCCCTCTTCTGGCCTCCCTGGGTTTTGCATACATGTGGTGCACAAACAGGTAACAAACGCATACACATAAAATATAAATAACTAATAATAACAAGCAGACAAAACATTCAAGCACATAAAATATAAATAACTAAATAAAAACAGGTTTAGAGTATATAATAGTTCTATGTTTTTTGTTGTTTTTATTTATTTTGTGCTGACGATTGAACCTGAAGCTTCATACATGCTAAGCACATTTTCTACCACTGAGCTATACCCTACCTAGCCTTACTGTACTAAAAAGACTTGCAAGTATATACAGTATGTGTAATTAGTATATTCTTGATAACTACTGAGGTTCTTTCCCTTTATAATTTATGTATTTTTCCTTTCAAGATTTACTAAAATGTAATCAGTTTCCCTGAATGAGCAAATTATCCTCAACTCAGTTTTTTCTTTTTAAAAAAATATTTTATTTTTACTTTATATATATGAGTGTATTTCCCGCATGTGTGTAGGTGCACCTTTGTCATGCAGTGCCTGCGGAGGTCAGAAGAGGGTATTGGATCTCCCAGAACTGAAGTTATGGACGATTGTTAGCTGCCATGTGGGTGCTGAGAACTGAACCTGGGTCCTCTGCAAGCGCAGTCAGTGTTCTTAACCAATGAGCCATCTTTCCAGCCCTCAGTTTTTTATTTCTATGAAATGCTGACAGCTTCGGTTTGAGGAAGTAAGGTTAATGAAATAAAAATTGGACAGTGGGCAAAGGTGCTGTGCTCTCATGAGACTAGAAATGAAGAATCTTACAAGGTGACATACAGTTCTTGAACAATGCTCAATACAAACAGGTGAAGAATATGTTTTAACATTGATTAATCTAACAAAAAAGCAAGATGTGAGTAGTTGACTTATGTTTTAACTACTGATAGATTTATACATATTCTTTCATTCAGAAAGTGGAAATTTTCACATCATTCTGGTGATTAGATGGTTTTTTCGAAGTTTTTTCTGGTTTTTTTTTTTCAACCAGTTTTTCTTCAAATATTAGGTCTTAAAAAAATTATAAAAGTAGCACAAACCTCTGTTAACACAGTGCTCTTTGAACAATAATTAATTAAAGCATAATATGTAAAATAGGTGATCAGGGCTTTCTATTTTTATCCTTCAAGTAGGGTAGGGAGATACTTCTGACTCCTCCATGACTTGAATTATTGATAATTTTTTTTAGACCCACTGCTGCTTTTTATCTTGTGAACTAATCCTGTCCTTGGGTAGAACAATGAGTGTTTTTTGCAATGTGAGTACTCATTACCTAAAGAATATATATAAGTACCTTGATTTAATATCCTATTCACCAGTCAGGTAAATTGATATATCATTTTGTATAGCCCAGTGTGTCAGAATATTTAAATAATTTATACAGGTATTTTACTGAGTTTTCTGTTTATATACTAGGAAAAGAAAACCTTACCCAATAGATACGGAGGACATTAAGATAAAATGTAGTTTTATCTAGTTTTAGAATGAATCTTGGAGACCAGGAAAAAAATCCCATCTGGATGGATAGATTGAACACTTTGTTACTATTAATTTTACTGATAGCTGTTTGTATGGATATACTGAAAGCTGGTGTAAAGAACCAAAGTTTTGTTACTGTACATTGACAAAGACTGTTTTGAAAGATAGATGTGGTAGGGGACATGAAGCCCAACTACAGGTCTTTGGAGATCCATGGCTAGCTGTCTTGGAAAGGGTAGATGCTGATCAACAGTTTAAGATAAACACCAACCTCTAATGGTATGCATTCCTAAGTCATCTCTTATTTTTGAACTGCAGTTTTGTACATAATACGCTTTATTTCTTAGTTACAGAGATAGATGTTCTAGATACCAATGAATAGGAAAACCTACCTATAAGCGTTAGGTATTGAGATTTAGTCTTAAACACTTACCCTTAACACTTGCTTCTCTCTCTCTAGGAGGGGCTATCTGTAGGCAGCCTTTGTGATTGAGGATAGAGCAGCATCAGGAAGCAAGAAATATTAGAAACCAAGAATCCTGAATTCCCAAATAAGGAAGGTTTCCTGTTCTTACATTTAAATATGGGTTTTTCTGAGCTGGGAATTTACAACGCGACAGACTACTAGGGTATGTTTTACTGAAATCATTAGGAAAGATGATTTTTTTTTTTCTCTCAAAATTGCCTCCTTAACTCAATATAACTGCAGTACAGAGCATTTGCTATAAAATATGTGCTCTGTTTCTAATATGCTTTACTCTGTACAACAGTGAGCAATTTCTCCTTAATTTTGTAGCTGTATCATAAAGTTGAATGGTATTCTTAGATATGTTGATTATAAAACTAATTAGATATTTTAGAAATTATTGAAAGTCACATTGAACGGGTGAATAATTGAGGGTATTTTGTTGTATGACAGGAAATCAGATTGGTAAACATAGTTTTCATATAGTGAAAGCGATAGTCTTTAAAAATTGAAATCACTTTAAAAAGTATAGTTAAAAGATTTCTGTATTAGCTTTAAATATGAGCTTTTAAAACTTTTCAGCCTAGAAGTTTAGTTTGAAAATTTTATTTTGAAAACCAAAGTGTCTCTTTAGGGTGTTCTGTGTAGCTGTCTGCTACTTGGAAAGATGAGAATCCTTTGGGGATGCCTTTAAAATTAGGCCAGTCTGAGCCATTAAAAAAAAAGCCTGCTCATAAAGTTTCTCTATTAAATCTATGTAATTATCACATGGTGTATGACTTGATGCTTTGATATATATTAATGAACTTTCATTTGTGAAGAAGCATACTTATCCTACAGGGTGCATTAATATTTTTATTTATTTTAGGTGTATATTTATTTGTGTATATTTATTTTAGGTGTATATATTTTGTGCTCTTAACTACTGAGCTATCTCTCTAGCCTAGATCTTAATATTTTTAAACGTGTTTTGATTTTTTTTTCATTGAATTCTTTAATTATACTTTTATGGGTACTATGAAAACTTAGAATAACTGAATTTCTTTTCTAGTTCTTCTCTGAAATGCCCTACTTTTTTTTTTTTTAAAGATCATAAGTGGGTATCATTGTTTCTTAGCCTCAGCAAAGGTATTTTACTTACCTTTTTTAGCTTGTTTGCTGATTTAAGCTTTTTATACCTGAGGAAGAGAACTTATTTTTTCCCTTTGTGGTCAAGCCATTTTATTCAGAGGCTTGTGGGTGGGGAGGGGCAGGCAAGGTCCACCATCAGATGTCCTCTGCAGGGCAGCTCTCTCATCACTAAAAGCAGAATGAACTCATTTTTAAGAGTTTTTTTCCCCCATTTGCTAAGCATGTGTCAAAGCGAATTAAGATTTTTTTTATGTTAACTAAATTATCTTTATGAAAGTTAAATTTGTACAGATTATAATACATAGTAGTAGTTTCTGATTACTGTTTTTTCCTTTTGTTTTGCTATAGCAGTGGAACTAGTTACTCAGATGAAAGTAGACAGATTCAGAGCAGTTATTCATAAGGAAAAAAAAGAATGAAAATCCTGTCTAGGACCCAAATATTTGAAACAGATCAAAATGGAATGACTAAGTTTAAAACCATGTCATTTTAAAAGCTATAAAGGAAAGAGTGGTATTTCACTGATGTCAGCAGAGGAAATTTGAAAGGAAAGAATGAGATTGTATAATTTGAGTAATTAACTGATTTAATATATGGTAAAATTTCTTTGGGTCTTTGTTTTATAAATGTATTCAACAGAATAATTCCCATCATGGGGATTGGAATTCCAAGAAAAATCTTTCAATCATGTTTCTTACTTTCATTTATATCATATTGTAGATTGTCTTTTTGTTAATTAACCTAGGTTTTTGTTAGTGTAAACTGGTTGATGTTGCTTAGACCTTAGTATATCCTACATATTCTTTGAAGAATTGTTTTCTCAGTTTATTCAGGTAAAAAACTTAGGGCTAAATTCTGATATTCCTATCTTTATAAATGAAGTAATTGAGGCATAGAGAATCTTTGTAACTTTTTAAATTTAGACAAAAGACAAAATATGAAGCTGAGTGTGGTGGCGCACGCCTTTAATCCCAGCACTCGAGAGGCAGAGGCAGGTAGATCTCTGTGATCTTGAGGCCAGGCTGGTCTACATAGTGAGTTCTAGGTCAACTGGGGCTACTGGGAGACTGACTCAAAAAGACCCTCCCACAAACACAAAAAGACCAAATATGAAAGCAAATAGCAAATACAGAGACTCTACACATCTTCATTTTCAACAAACATTGAAAGAAACACATCTTCGTTTATTACTGTTTAATCTTTTTATGAATGTTTCCTAAATTACCTTTAAAATATAAATAAAAATGTTTGAAAGCTTGGGGAAAAATGGAAAGCCCTGGACAGATTTTACTTTTAGGTTTTTTTTGGTCTTTTTGAGACAGGGTCTCCTTGTAGCCCCAGCTGTCCTGGAAATCACTATGTAGACCAGGCTGGCCTCGAACTCACAAAGATCCGCCAGCCTCTGCCTCCGGGATTAAAGGCGGGATTGAAGTGCCTGGATTAAAGGCGTGCGCCACCATGCCCTGCTAGATATTTTTAATATAAATGTAATAATATAACCTAGCTAAAGAAATTTCATAGTTTATGTGAATTGTTAAACAATCACGTAGTTATGATTTCCAGTTCATCGATCTAGAATTGTTGTTTGTAATGAATTATTAAAAAGATGTGAGTGCTGGGTGTGGTAGCCCACGCCTTTAATTCCAGCACTGGGGAGTCAGAGGCAGGAGGATCTCTGTGAGTTCCAGGACAGCTGGGTCTACAGGGAGACCCTGTCTCAAAAAGACCCCCCCCCCCAAAAAAAAAAAAAGATGTGAGCTACGTTGCTGCTTGTAGTAGAGCAAGTTTTCAGTAGAATTTTAAGGCCTTGTTTAGGTAAGTTGAGCTATCTTTTCTTTGTCAGAACCAATTTATCATAGTAAAGTCACATTCCTCAGTTCAGCCTGGTGAAGTATTTGCATATCAAAGCCTAATTTCCATATTATTTCTGCCAGAAAATCACATTTCACTAGAGTGGTAGAAAGTAGCTTACTTTATATTTTAGCTGCATTCTGATGGCTCCATGAGTATTGTGAAAGCATGTTAACTCTATGATTAAGGACTACACTTAATCTGTTCTGCTTGTACTCATGTAAGCCTATGTAGATATGGGCAAAAGTCAACACAATTTTCCAATAAGGAATAATGTAAATGAGTTATCTCAATTTCATTACTTTTTGATCTTCTGAACAATTACTATTAAATTGTTAAAAACTTCTTTTACTTAAATAACTATAGATATTGATACTGTGTTTTAGTGTTTTCATAGTAGATTGTGGTCTTTGCTCCTATCCTAGTAGAAAACACATTCATCTGCTAACAACCATCAGTAACTCCAGTTACAGGGGAATTTGACACCTTCTTCTGACTTCCCTGAGTATTACATGACATAAGTGCACTTACCTACATGCAGGCATTATACTCATACACATAAAATAAAAATAAATTAAAAAACAAAACAAAACATCTTTTATTCAGTTTGAAAAAAAGACTGGTAACCTAATTAAAAAAGGTATGATTAAACACTTTTTTAAAAAGAAACTTTTGAGTACACTTTTAAAAAAAATAAGAAAACATTGCTTAACCCTCAATATCTTAAAGGAAATTGGATAGCTGCAAAAGAATGCGTAAGAATCCCATCTCTGAAGGCCTTATCTAGGTTACCAGGGAAAGGTGGAAGAATGTTTTTTCTTTTTTTTCTTTTCCCCCCGAGATATGGGGTCTTCCTGTAGCCCCAGCTGGCCTAGAACTCATTATGTAGACCAGGCTGGTCTCATATAGACCTGCCTGCCTCTTTCTTCCAAGTGCTAGGATTAAAAACCACCATACCCAATTCTTCATTTTTTTTTGGGGGGGGGGGGTCTTTTTGAGACAGCTCTCCCTGTAGCCCCAGCTGGCCTGGAACTCGTTATGTAGACGAGTTTGTCCTGGAACTCACAGAGATCCCCATGCCTCTGCCTCCCAAGTGCTAGGATTAAAGGTGTGTGCTACCACACCTGGCCTCTTCCATATTTTTAAAATACTTATTGGCATAATTACTAGCACAATTCAGAATAATTAATTTGGGGAAAATGTTAAGTCACACAATATTAAAATGTATAAATGACTTGCCTAAGACATTCTTTTTATAGCTAATTTATAACTGCACAAGTTTAGCATTACAGTCAACTTTACAGGACAGCAGCTTTCATTATGCACATAGTTTTCAGTGGAGCAATAGATCTTAATGGGATCTTAATAGTGGAGATTTTATCTTTCATGTTCATTGTATTCCCATTAGCTAATATTAAGTAAATATTGGAATTAAGGTATTTGTTGTCTTGTGGTGTGATACAGTCTGAGACTATTTCATCTCCTTTATCTTTGAAAAAAATGTATTTCTATGATAGTGGAAAGTTATAGATGTATTTAGTATAGTTTGATCTAAAGATAATTTGTAAATATATAATTTGTTAATCATTTTTCAGACACTGGCTTCATGTCCTATTGACCGAAAACCTTTTCAGGCTGTACTTAAGTTTAGTGCATTGGAAGGTTGTGTTAAGGTAAGTCTTTGATTTTATTTGAGTTTATGAACTATGTAATGTTCACTGAGGTTACTTTTAGTTATTCTATATTTGAAAATGTTTACCTTTAGGTTCAATATGTGATCTTGCTCCTCTTCATCATGACAAGCTCATACCTTCCAACAAGGGTACTAAAGTATAAAGCTTTTTCCTTTCCCTTCTGAAGAGGGCATGTCCACAGTGGTACAAATATTATTAAGGTCAGATACTTGAAGTTTCATCTAATTCTAACATTTTCAAAACAGCATGAGCATTTTTTAGTTGAATAGCACTTTGAATAAATGTGTTTGCATTTGGAAATTTTTTTGAAATTTCATTGAAAAGGTGTTTAAAACAAAGTATTGAATTCAAAGATTAACTTTCGTAAAACTTAAGTTCAAAATATTTGAAAGCTGTTTTTATGAAAAGCATAAATTTGAGATTAGCCATTAAAATTACACATAAAATGACATGCTTTGTCATGTAAGTTTATTATGAGTCTTGGTTATGATTTTTATTGATGGTTTTAGTTTGTTAAAAAGAAGAGAACTGGAAACATTCCTGACTTAATGAGTAAAATAGGACAGGACAGTGGTACATAAGTAAAATATATGAGAACTCTAATAAATATTTGAGTAAATGATGAACAGCTTTCAAATA